AGAGGCAAGCAGGTGGAGGAAGGCCTTGGCAGAGCTGCCTGGATCCTTCACCAGCTGCAAGGTCCGAGGGCAAGCAAGGTTCAGGCAGCGCCAGCTCAGGGCCTGCTCTGCTCACTCACGTAGCTCAGCCTCACGCTGACTTCCAGGAATGGCAGAGGGACTTGGCTGCCTCTCCCAGCAGACAGGACCTTTCCTGGAAAGCAAGGCAGGTGAGGGTCTTCAGTTGGCAGAGGAAAGGCTGGCAGCTGGGAACTGGTCAAGAGACCTGAGCTTGAACCCCCGCCCTGCCTCTGCTCTGCTGGGACTCAATTTCCTCATCTGTAGCATAGGGATGCTCTCTGGGCTCAGAAGGGTGAGATATCTGACCCCTCCATTCCCCTAGACACAAGCCCCAAGAGAGGGCTGCAGACCTGGTACAGCAGGGGTCAACATGGTGGCATCCCCTGTTTGGAGTGGTTAAGTGTCTGTGGGAACTCTGGGAAGAAGGCCATGTGGTCAGGCCTGCCTACCAGGGGACAGGGCTGCTCTGTCTCACCCTTTCCCTTCAGCCATGGCTGGGGCCAGGGGGTCAGCCCAGTTCAGGGCTCCCAGTGAAGCTGAGGTAGGCTTTCCTGCCTGTCCCACTCTGTGAACTGTAAAATTGTCCTTTCTCAACCATTTCCCTGCAGGACTGTTAGGGGAGTGGAGTGTCTTTGGAAGAAGAGGGGTGCCTAGAATTTGAAGCTCTTATACTTCTGATTTCTGGTTACCAGGCCAAAGATGCCCAAGAGTCCTTTCAGATACCTCAGGAGGACTCTGAAGGCCAGGGGCTGGGGGGTAGACCGCCAGTTCCATCAGATGGGAAGGCACTCATTCATTTTGCGAGGGGAAACCCTGTTCTTCCCAGTTACGTGGCTTCAGATGAGATCCAGATCTGTCCATACACCCAGAGGCTACAGTTGGGCTAATGTGGCTGACACCAGCCCATGATCCTGGTCCAGAGAGTTTTATGGGCCAGATCTCTAAGTTAAGGAGCTACATGAAGAGCCATATGATCACCACCTAATTGACCATGGGCCCTTGGAAGTAATGGGAGCTGAGAGCACTGTACCAGGAGTCAGAAGGTAAATGCCGTGTGACCTCACGTAAGCCCCTTTCCTATTTGGGAAGAGGGAGGATCAGGGATTAGACATGAATCTTGCTATAATCCACCCCTCCCAGTACAACAAGGCCCTTTTGGCTTTACCCAAAGCATATCCAGGTGATTTGGGGCCAAGCTGACCCTTGAACCCAGGTGTCCAGACTATCTGTCCCTCAGCCTCTCAGCTCTCAAACCCAGAGTGAGGCACATCAGCCCATGTTTGGCCTCCCAGTAGCCCACCACGTGGCTCCTGGGCTAGGACTGTGGCTTCAGGAGCCCCACACCTTGGCCAGGTGGAATGGTGCCTCTAGAGCCCCATATTATCCCTCATCCAGAGTGGGGTCCTGGTCTCAGCCTGGATAGGCACAGGGCTGAGGGCACCAGTTGGCCACTTCAGCTTTGGGGACCAGGAGGTTGTGAACCCCAGGCATAACCCTATTCCACCCCAGGGACAGAATGGTGACACAGCACTGCCCAGGTCTTTAACAGGAGCCAGGCACTGCCTGGAAGCTTGAAGCCCAACCCTCTACAGTTTAGATGGAAGGGTCAGGCCCATCAGCTCAAAGTCAGGGTCTGCTGTGCTCATTTCATAGACATGGTACTTTTAACTCAGACAGTATAGGACCCTTGCTCCTCTTCACATACTCAGGGTGTGCTGAGCCAGCCACATAACTCCATGGGGGGGCCAAGACCAGGCTTGGACTCAGTCTCTGAGGTCCTCTCTAAAGGCCTGGGTGGCCCCTGAGCCACTGGAGATGGGCCATGGAGGCTAGCCTTGCTCTCTCTGCTGCCAATCCCAGACCCCACCCACTCCCAGTGCCCAGGCCAGCCTCTCTGAGACCCACGCCAGTCAGTCTTCCAGTCCTCTTGCTCTGAGAAAGAGCCAGCTCTCTCCAAACATGGTGAGACATGTGAGTAGGGGGCCTAGGCAGTTCAGGTCTGCAGGTTGAAGAGGGTTCCCCACTTCTCCATTCTGGCCACATCACCTCTCAGAGGAGAGATATTCAAGGCAATTTATCATGCTTCTCAAAATTCTTCCAACCTCTGCCCATTCCAAAGCCACTTCCATTTTAGGTGTTTCTTACAGCAGTGATCTACTTTGGGCACCAAAATCTGTATTATTGTCCTACGGCTGCTGTAACAAATAGCCACAAATATAGTGGCTTTAAACAACACACATTTATCATCTTACAGTTCTGGAGTTCAGAAATCCAAAATCAGTTTCACTGGGCTTTATTAAAGTGAAGGTGTTGGCAGGACTGTGTTATTTCTTGAGGCTGTAGAGGAGAAGAGGCTGTCCACATCTCTTGGCTCATGGCAACTTCCTCCAGCAATTGCATCGCTTCACCTCTTCTTCCACTGCCACATCTTCTCTGACACTCCTGCCTTCCTCCCATAGTTGTGATTAAACTGAGTTTACCCAAATAATCCAGGATAATCTTTCCATCTCAAGACCCTTAATCACATCTGCAAAGTCCCTTTTGCCATGTAAGTTAATACAGTCACAGGTTTGGAGCATTAGGACATGTTTATCTTTGGGGGCCATTATTCCACCTACCACAGGAAGGGCAGGGTTGTTTCACCAGTCCCAAGCCCAGACCAGGGGACTTATCCAAGACAGAGGGGTCATGAGGGGGGATCAGGCTGCTGTCCTACCCAACACCCTGGCTGGGGGCTGACTGGGGCCAAGAGCTCCAGGAAACCTAGAGCATACCCCTGCTGCTGCCAAGGACAGCCTGTTATCCTGGTGTGGCTGCCATGAAGGAATCAGGTGCACTTGAGCCCTCAAAGCAGCCATGGCTCAACTGGAACAGCTGCCTGGCTCAGGCAGGAGGCCAGTCCCACATGTCTTCCTTTCTGAGATGATCCGAATATGTGAGAGCTGCCATTAGGTCAGATGTGGGCAACATGGGAAGTTCCAGCTCTATTCTGGAAAATGCAAGCACTATCAGCTCACTGGTGGACAATTACTGAACTTGGGTATGCCAGACCCCCAGTGGGCCCCAGAGAAATGAGGAAGACAGGAAGGTTTCCAAATGCATGGGACAGAATGTCATTGGTGCTGGCACAGATATGGACTAGGGCAGGTGGGGAAAACACAGAGGTCGGGGCAGGTGTCCCAAAGAAGGCAGCATTTGTGTTGGAACTTGAAGGAGGTGATGGTTCGGATTGGCAGTGGTAGCCAAGGGCATTCCTGATGGGTGCACTGTCTAGGCAAAGGGAAGGTATGGAAAATAACACAGAGGCTGAAGTTCAAGGCAGGAAAGAAAAGAATCTGAAGGCAGATGGGAAAAGACATGCTGGTCTGCAGAGGTTAAAGGGTTTCCCACCTCATGCTAGCAGTTCTCAAACCTTGTCAGCAGTGGAACCCTTTGTCTGGTGGCAGCTTACTCAGAGCACTGATGGGGCCTTGGGAGGGGTCCCCAGGGCCTTTCCCATAGCCATCCTCCCTCACCTCTCCAGACCTCAACTCCACAGAACACAGAGACCACACTCAGGTCACAGGGAGCCAGCCAAAGGTTTGTGGCAAGGATTGGGACAGTTGATGGTCCAGGGTGGGGTAGGGGGGAAGGACAGAAAAGGTTATATTTCTTGAACTTAGGGGTTTGAGGGACATTTAAATAAAGCAGCTGGATAAGCCCCATGGAGAAACCCATGGGCAGCTGAGAAAATCATTTGCTGTGAGGCAAGGCCTCAGTCTCCTCAACTATCAGAAGAGGAGATAGAATTGCTCTCCCAGAGTATATCAAACAGGGAGTCTTACACCCTCTGCCCATGCTCTGGGCTCTGGCTAAAAGCACATCTCTCAAGACCACATGGGCCTGCAGAGTCTCGACTTCACCATCAGCTCCATGTCTGCCTCCGATTCTGTCTATGAGGGCTCCTTGACACATGTCAGAGGAGGCAGCTCAAGTCTCTGGCTCTGGCCTCAGGAGCAAGGGAAGGGACAGAGCAGGCGAGCCTTGCTTTCCCTGAGCTAGAGCCACCAGTTGCCCTGGCCTGGACCTCAGGGCACTCAGACCCTGGTGAAGAGGGATTGAAAGGAGATGTGGGCTACCATGCTACCAGCCTCTTGGTGACTCTAGAGGGTAGAGAGATGTCAAGAGCTCGAGACTGAAATCCCTGCCTTCCCCCCTTTCCAGACTGCCCTCTGTCTGCCTGCCTCATGTTGGTGCTGAGCACCAGAGACGCATGAAGGTACAGGGCCCTTCCTCCCTGTGCTACCCTCTGAGGCAGGCAACGAAAACACCCCCAATGGGCCAAGAAAGGGCTCCCAAGGGCTCCTCACAACCATCCTATAAAATTTCACAGGCTTGGAAGCCAAAGCTGAGGTAGGTAAAGTTATTTGCCTAAGGTCATATCCTGGTAAGTGGCAGACCCCAGGATTTGAACCCAGGCTGGTGTGGCTCCAATATCAGGGATGAATGTTAGGCTCCAGTAAAGCTAGTGGCTGCAGGCTTGAGGCCCTGCCCTGTTGTCCCCTTGGCTTAGACCTTTTTCCCAGTGGAGTCAAGCCCTACATTTTTCTGGGAAGGAAGTTATTCCCAAAGGTGGCTCCTGCTCTGGTAACCCTAGCTGACCCTACACTGTCACTCTCCATCATCACACTCGCTTGGGCTGTCATAGCCACTCTCTTGCCAAGGCCCTTCCTTAGTAATGCGTTTGAGGCCAGGATGGTGACACCATCAGAGAAGCCAGCACTGGCTGAGGTATAGCCCAGGCTATGGGACAAGCAGGCAGCAGACTGCTATGAGATCAGGGCAGCTTACCTGAGGTGTCACTGAAAACAGCAAGAGCCAAAGGGCAGAGGCAAGAGGAGAGAAGGAATAATACCCAGGGTAAGTGGTCAGGGGACCCACAAATCATAGTAACAAAAACATTAGGTCACAATTTGTCTCTTGATACTTTACTGGCCATATCTCCAAATACCCCCTCACCAATTCCACCAACAGAGACACTGAGCAACCTATCCTCAGTCACACTGATGTTATGGGGCCAGACTGGGAACCTGGGTCTGCTCAGTTCCTAAGCTAAACTGTGGATGCCCCTGCTCTTTGCTGCCCCAGGAAGGATACCCCCATCCTTGTTTCTACCCCTAACACTCCTAGAAATGCAGAGAATGGGGAATCAGAACCATGGGAAATGTCACAAGCACCTGGGGTTGAGGAAAGCACCAGCCACTTCCCTCTGAGCAACATTCCAAGAAGGAGAAATGGCCAGGCACTTAGGCAGGCTAGGGCTCTGGCCAGAAGTCTGCTGGGCAGCCATGTTACGGCTCAGACCTTTGGATATGCAGGAACCGGGGCCTGAGGAGACAGGGATGAGGGGCTGGTCACTGCCTGGGCCCCAGGGAATGAGCAGGGAGTGAGAACTGCTCACTCTCCCCGCAGCTGGAGCTGTGGATGGCCTGAGCAGAAGGACCAGCATGGCTGTGGGGGCTGAGAAGTCAGTAGAACCTCACCTCCCACAGAAGTCCCTGCGCACGGCCACGAGATTGAGGTACAGGTCGGGCCGCCTCTGAAGCCAGCTGCTTACAAGCTCTGGGTGCCTTGGGTCCACTTCCAGGAAGATGCTTCTACATGGGGGAGAAATGATTGGGCTCAGTTGGGCAGGGCCAGGACCCTGCGCACGGCCACGAGATTGAGGTACAGGTCGGGCCGCCTCTGAAGCCAGCTGCTTACAAGTTCTGGGTGCCTTGGGTCCACTTCCAGGAAGATGCTTCTACATGGGGGAGAAATGATTGGGCTCAGTTGGGCAGGGCCAGGACTTGCACTTCTGGGTTGCCTGAGCTGGGAGGGGCAGGGGCAGAATGACTACCAGGGCATAGCCAGTACACGCTGGGGGTGAAAGAGGCTGCTGGGGACAGACCAAAGAGACCCATCCCATCCATACCCAGTGTCCTTCAGGAGCTGAGGTGCCAAGGCCAGGATGTGGGTGATGATGTCCATGCCCTCCTCCCCACCGTCCAAGGCTGCTGGGTCTTCATAGCTGAACAGGAAAATAATGGAAGGTGAGAGCCTGGGAGTAGGGGTGTCTGGAAAGTATGGAGGAGCTGGGCAGAGTCTCCACAAAGAGGGCCACATGGAACTTACTTTTGGACTGAGAAGCAGATCTGAGGACCCAGAGAAGGTGGACCCCAAACAGATGGCAGCTCCTACTCCTCTACCTCCTGTGGGCACCCCCACCAGGAGATGCCAGGAATGCTTGCTGAATCCCATTGACTGACAACCCTCTGGACATGAGTGTCTCCCCAAAACAAGGCTGCTCCTGTTCTTGGTCTGGGAGGTCTGGAGCTGGCCCTGACCACTCCTGAGAGCCCAAAAAGGGAGAGCAAGCACCCCTACCCATACCACTCCTGGGCTACCCCTGGTTCTCAGCCCCTGTGTAAGAGGATGGCTTGTTGCAAAGCCTGGAATAGGGTTTTAGTCCCAGTTTTCCTGCTGAGCTCCCATGTAACCTTAGACAAGCCTCTTCCCTCTCTGGGTTTAGTTTTCTGTAAAATGATGGATGCATCATCTATTGAGCACCTTCTATGAGCCCTCCACTGTGTTGGATGGCCCTGCAAAGCACTACCACTCCCCTTTCAGAGACAGGAAACTGAGGCTCTGAGAGGTTCAGTGGCTATCCAGGAATGTGAAGTGGGACGGCAGAAGCTGAACCCAGGTAGGACTGTGAGCTTCAAAGTGTACCTTCTCAACACCACTGCCCCTTTCTGCACCCCTGCTCCCTCCATATGCGGTGATCCTCAAGGGCAGACCAATCCCACTATGCCTCTCAGGCCTGGCTGGCCTCCCTGTCCCACTCAGCCCAGCACCTGCGGATCTCTGGAGCCAGCTGTTCCATGTCCTGGTGGAAGATGTAAGGAGGGTTGCTGATGACCAGGTCCATGGGGCCCCAGGGCAGAAGATGTGTCCAGCTCCCCGCTGTGGTCAAAGAAGAGGACATACAGCAGGGACTGGCCCATTGGGAGATAAAAGGTGGTAGCTCCACCTGCCAACAAGCCCCTTGGGTAGTCCCTCCCCACAAGCCACACCCTGTCTGTCTCTAGACCTGATAAGCCAGACTTGCAGATTAGTGCCCAGGGTCCCCAGCCATCAGCCTGGCTGGGAGTGTGCATGCTCTGACATGGCAGCCTTTCACCTAGAATGTCCTTAGCCTCTCTTCCTCCTGTCAAAAACCTCCTTATTAAGCAAGACTCAGTTCAACTGCCACCTCTAGAAAGTCTTTCCTGATTGCCTGGACAAAGCAAGAGCCTTTCTCCTCTGCAGACCCACTGGCCTTTTGATATTCTACCTTATAGCCAGCATGGACTGAGAGAGTACATGTGGAGCAGGCCTGGCCTTAGTCAGCCGATTCCTGATAGCTCTGATTGATTCCCAGTTCCACCCCATGCCAGGTGCTACACCAAGTGCATCAAACTCCATTGAGCACATGAGGCTCAAAGATCCCATGGGTAATGTGATGGAGCCAGAACTGGAGCCAGAAACCTCAGGACACTCTGTAAAGGCTATGGCTGAGCCATGCAGTGCCTGGGCCACTTCTTCCCAGGCCAGGCAGGGGTGAGGAGGGCACTCAAGATATTTGGTTCTTTTTTTTGAGCTTCTGTTTATCTCCTGCCAACAAGCAAGCCCTTAAACTCATTAGTTATGAGGGGTTCAAAAGGCAAGAAAAGCTCTGTGGCTGGTCCCCCCATGGGTCAGGACAGTCCAAGAGGCAACAGCAACTTGTCCATTCTCAGCAAGCACTGAGTTGAGATGCCCCATGTGTGTGTGCATGTGCCCGTGCAACTGTCGGGGAAACCCTCCCTCCATCTCCATGGAGTGCCTCATCCACCCAGAAGCCCCTTTATCCAGGATTCCCACCTCAGGGAAAACGGGTGGGGGAGGGTACCTAAGGTCACATCGCAGGAAACGATCCAAATCCTGTCCTGCAACTGAAGCCTGGAGAGATAGGGAGGTGAGGGTGAGTATGGGGGGCAGACCCCTACTCTTGGCTACAAGGACGGGTGGGACAGTGAATGCTTTTTCTACCAGCAAGATATCCAATGCCCACCATTAATTTATAATCATGTGGGACTCATACCAGGCTACCTTTTTGAGAGTGGAAATCAGAAATGGGTGGGTTAGATACCTGCACAGGGGTCATCAGGCCACAAAGTCCAACTCCCCAACCCTGGCCCTCTGTCTCCCCCAGCCTATCTACCTACCTCTGAGCATTCTCATGGGTCAGAGAGATGGCAGCCTCACTCTTATCCACAGCAATGACTCGGCTCTGCTCCAAGAACAAACAAAGGGCATGTGGGAGATGCCGGGCCTGACGGCCATCCTCTGAGCCCCTACCAGAAGAAGAGGGAAATACCCAACAGCTTTTTGCTCTCTATTGCCAGGGTCTAGCCAGCAGTTAGAGGCTGTGACCATGGTGGGCTGGGGGCAGCCCTATCCTCCCTTGTCTGGTCACTTTCCCTCAAGTACTCCTGGGAGAGGGATGTGAGGGAAGAACCAATGCGAGGTGAAGTGAGTGTCAGTCACAGTCTACCCAGGGCATGTTGGAAGGATACGGGGGAGGGGGGTCTCACCTGGGGGAGCTGGCTCAGCAGGCTGATGGAGATGGCTCCTGATCCACAGCCCACCTCCAGAATGAGGGGGCCACCTTGGGCTCCCACTGCATGAGGCCTCTGGGCCACCTCCTCCAGCACCCATTCAACAAGTTCCTGTGAGGCAGAAGGGTCTGGATTAGAGTTGGTGCCAACCTGGCCCCTGAGGGTCTTGCCACAGAGGCCCAAGCATTTAGCCCCTGTGTGAATGTAGAAAGGGGGGGTGGCCAAAGCCAGACTGACCTTCATGTCAGCTGAGGCCATGGGCAGGTCACCCTGCCTCTCCATGCCTCAGTTTCCTCATCTGTAAAGTTGAGCACAGTTGAGGATAACCTGCCTTGTGGGGATGTGGTGGGGATTAAACAGAAGCACATTCGTGAAGCACTGACCCACACCTGTTGCATGGTGAGTGTTCGATAAACTCCAGCTAAGCCCTTTACAGACATCCACCCATTTTGTGCTCACAGAAATGCTAAGAACCATGCCTGATAATTCCTGCCCACTGCCTCTGTGTCTGGCCCTGCCCCTTCAACTTTTACCTGTGAAGACCTGTTGGATCCTCACAACTGAAACCGAGGTCAGGGCTTGCACTCCTTACACTCCAGACTTGGAGCCTGGCCTGTGGCTTATGGTGGCCAAGAATCAGGGGCTGCTGTGTTCCCAGCTTCCTCACAGAGCTGAACTTAGGAGGCCCCCAAGGAGGCTCTAGGCAGAGGGACAAGGAATTCCCCACATGGGGAGGAGGTATGACAGTCCTGCCTAAGCCCCATGTCTGAAGGTGGCTGTGGCACACACATGGGGCCTGGGTGTGGTGGCAGGTTTCTGACTCCATCATACCTGCTTTGGTGGCAGGAAGACACTTTCAGACACTGTCACTTAGGAAACAAGGGTTTTGAGTCTCACCCACACGTCTGCTGCCTGCAGAGACTGTGCATGGAAGCCAATATAGGGTAGGGGTAAAGGATGGAGGGCTGCTACTGTCCAATGGCTGAAATGTTTCTAACCTGCAGTGGAGTGGGGGGCTGCAATAGCCAGGTGTGGAGCAGAGAAAGGGCGGTGTGGCCTCTTCTCAAAGGCATCCATCCCTTTGGATACAAACATAGGGCCCCTTCAGGGGCTCAGGACTCCTGGGACCCCATCTCCCAGGCAGGATGGCTCAGGTAACAATGGGCGGTGGGGGGGGGCAGCAAGTGGGTGCTTCTCTCATCTGAAAAGAGGCCCAACTTCCCCAGAAAACCTCCCTCAACCCCCAGCCAGGCTCTCTACCACAGCTTTTCCCACCCTGAGCCTAAGGTATAGGAAGGGGTTTGCCTCTTCCACCAGACTCCAGGATGGGAAGACCTGGTGTGTGACCCACACTGGTAGGGTCTGGCCCACAGAGGGGCCTCTTGGCTACTTTCCAAGTGCTGGGCAAGTTCTCTGTGGCCCTAAGAAGCCACCCTCTGAGTCTCACACCCTCAGGTCCGCCCAATCCCCAACGCCATCAGCCAGGCCTAATGGAGCAGAGAGCTCCAGATCACTCAGACCCATTTTCCACATAAGCTCCTCAGTGCCTAGTCCCAGAAAGCCTCTTATCCTTCCGGGCCCCCCAAACCCAGTAGCAAGGTTGACCTGCCCCACAGATAGCAAGTCCAAGGCAGGTAGAACTTGACCAGCGAGCCCAGCCTTCCCAGTTCCAAGCCCCTTCTGCACTACTGCCTATGGGCAAGGGAGCCTGGCTCCACCAGGAGAGGGCTTCCACTCACTTGCTCCCACAGGCCCTGTCCCAGGCACTACTGCAGACCAGGGGGTACTTGTAGCAAGCTGGGCCCACAGGGTTGGGACTGGCACAGAGTGAGCAGTCTAAAGCTGTGGCTGACAGCTTGTGGTCTTAGTGGTGAGGCCACATGCTAAGAGACTGGCAGGGTGACCTGGACTTTTCAGGGGTGTGAGCCTCTCTTGGGTTTCCTGGCCACTGACAGACATACTCTGAGAATGACCCGTCAGACAGCCACACTGGCCAGCCACCTCACGGAGACATCCACTACCTCAGAGACATATACCACATATGTGAATGGCCACGTTGGGCAAGGTATAAAGCTGAGACTGGGTCCCCACTGCCACTTGTGGCCTCTTGCTCTCCCTTACACTCCAGAACACGAGAGGCTCATCTTGGTTGTGGGACCACCTGGGGGGAAGGGGTGGAGACCAACCCCAAGAAGTCTAGAAACTTTCTTTTTCCCACCCAGTGAAGAGCCTCCCTCAGCCTAAAGCTGATGGCTCTTTGAGGGAGGCTGAAAGCTGAGCTAGTCACAGGTCCTGGGTTACTCCAAGTAAACATGGGAAGAATCAAGAACACGGCAGGATGGAGGGACAGGGGCATGTGGGAAGGAGGCAGAGAGTATGCAGTTGTTGGCTCTGCCTGAAGTCACTGCTCCAACATGGACTCCACACCCTCTCAAGAGGCCTAAGGATTCAGCAGAACCGGAGTGCCACAAGCACCCTCTATTAGGAACACATCCTTCGTAGGGCAGCCCTAGGGAGGTGGCATTGCTTCCCCCAAGTCAATCACAGACAAAGCACTGAGCCTCCCACACCCCATCCAGCTTCACCACACCAGGCTGGGCGGGAATGGCTCACATCCCCAGCCTTGGGTTTCCTACAGTATACACTGCCAGGCTGGAGACTGAGTCACCTTTTCACCCACAGGGAAAATCCAACTCATTGGGCCACATGCTGCCTGCAACTAAGCATTTCAGACTTCTACACTCATCATCAGAAACTACCCTTCAATGGATGGAAAGAATGTAGGCGCCATGATCCCTCCCCTGTACCCATTCTCCACACTCCCCGCCACAAGCCACGTCCTCTTGAATTCTTGGTAAGGCACTCCCCCAATGCTGCTTCACACTGGGGCGAACTTGGTGAGTTCTCAGAAATATCTGTACAGAGAGACGAGGACATGGCCTCCCAACCACATGATGTGGAGGTGAGAAGGGTCAGCAGGTTTCTTGGCTATGGGACAGAGGCCGGGAGAGTAAGGAAGGGCTCTGGGCCCCTGGCTGGGGCAGGTGAATGGGACTTGACCTTTCCCAGGAATGTTTGTGTGTCTGGGTGCCTTTCTAAACATCCCTTCTCAGAACCTAGTGCCCTCTGAACCAGCTCCCACCCAGCCCTACCCCCTGCGTCTGCCCTCTCTGGCTCCCAGCTCTGCCACCTACAAAGTCAGGAGGAAGTCCAGCAAGGGCCAAAGAAAGTATCTCTTCCAGGATTAGGGTGCCTCACAAAGGGACAGCATGCTTGGGCCACACATCCCCAGTCCTAGTAATTTGAGGGACCGATACAGGCAATTACCTGACTGGACAGTGGACCTAAGAGGACCACCAAGTCACAGATTTCCAGGTCTGGAGGCCCAACACTCTAATCATCTGGGCCCAGAAGAGGCAGTGACCTGCCCGAGGTTACACAGCTGACACCAGGCCTCCAAGTGTCCCAGCTGGAGCCCTCTCCACTTCCTTTATGCCTCCTGAAAAGCTGCCAGTGGGCATTTGTTTCCTGTGAGTTGGGTGGGCCTTTGATCCACAGGACAGCTCCAAGGGAAATGGCCGAGCACTTGGGCAAGGAATAGACCAAGCACTTGGGCAGCACTAGTTGAGACACTCTGGGCCACTATCAGGCCTGGGAGCTAGGGCAGTGGCTTGGGACATGAGGACGGCCTTTGATCCACAGGACAGCTCCAAGGGAAATGGCCGAGCACTTGGGCAAGGAATAGACCGAGCACTTGGGCAGCACTAGTTGAGACACTCTGGGCCACTATCAGGCCTGGGAGCTAGGGCAGTGGCTTGGGACATGAGGATAGCCAAGAGGACCAACAGGAGTCCTCTGTCCTCTTGGCCCCACCAACCCAACCAGCCAGGAGACACACATCTAGAAGGGCAGTCATGGGGCCCCAGTGCCCTCTGGAGGAAGTCTGCAAAAAGACAGGTGCCCCTCATCCCCATCCTGTCCTGTCCTGGTGGCACACTCACCTCTGTCTCCGGCCGAGGAATGAACACTGGGGGCACCATCTTCAGGCTGAGTCCCTGGAAGTCCCACTCTCCAAGGATGTACTGTATGGGCATCCTGCAGAGGGGGTAGCCCGGTGGTCATTAGTGCCAGAGCCAGGACCAATAGGACCAAGCCCGGGTTGAGAGATGCCACTTGTGGCCAAAAGCATCAAGCAAGGCCATGTCTCCTGTGCCCTGGGACTCCTAACCAAAGCTTTCCCTCCCTCCCTTCTTCCTGTTTACTACCCTGACCCGCCTCTTGTAATTCCATCACCCCAACACCTCTCTAGTCCTTGGGTACTTTCCTCCTTCCTGACCATGATTGTGGGGGGAAACGCCTAGAGGAGGCTGAAGCCCTGCTCCCCACTCAGAGCCCTCAGGTCTGACCTGTGGGTGCTCACCTCTGCAATCGGCAGCTACTCAGCTCCTGGATGCACTGTAGTTGCTGAGGGGTCAAGGGTTGGGTCCAAAGTACTGGCTTCAGGCTCTGAAACTGTCCCCACAGAGAATGTTAGTGGCTGTCTCCCTTTCCCCAGGGGCCCCAACCCAGGTTTCTTATGTGGGCAATGCTTGTGGGTCCAGCACTGGTCTGGAGGCCCAACACTCTCATTATCTGGGCCCAGAGGGGGCAATCACCTGCCTGAGGTCACACAGCTGATACTAGGCCCCCAGGTGTCTATCCCTGAACCTCTAGTGCCAGGCATACACTGTAATAGTTTGTTGAATTAATGAATAAATATCTACCTAGGGCATTCCTTCAGAAAAATCCCCCCAGGCAGGCTGGCTGGCTGGCTGAGTTGGTTAGAGCAGTGTTAACACCAAGATCAAGGGTTCAGATCACTTTACTGACCAGCTGCCAAAAAAAGAAAAAAGAAAAAAATCCCCAAAAAAGACATTCTCAGAAAACTCTCAGCTAAGCATTATTGGTGAGGCAGAAAAGCCTGGATGTCTCTTCCCCAGGATCCACCCTCCTCCCTTTTCCCACCCCCCTGGCAACACTACACTTAACTGTTTTGGCTCCAAGAACATGAGCCACGATGTACTCACTGGATTCCTGAGCCTCAGGAATGCCTTTCTTCTCAAAGACCCCCTTCCAATGGCTGACCACCTCTGTGGCACTCGACAGCCCAGCCAGAGGTGGATGGGGTTGCCATGAGCTGAAGGCCCAGCCCCGGGTGCCTCCCTTCCTCCCTGAGCCAAACAGGAGTGCCCACAGCATTCGACTCCAAAGCTCCATGTCTCAGGGAAAGGCTCCCCTAAGCTCTCCCAGGTTCCCAAGTCTCCCTTGTGATGTCAGCTGCTGAGGTGGGCACTGAGTGGTCCTTTGCCCCAGATGGGTGGAGATGGAAAGGCTCTGGCTCCCCAAAATGGCCCTGGTCATCAGATGTGGTTGCCACCTTGGGGGAAAGAGACCAAGAGAGGAACTGAGCCTTGTATGATAAACCCCCTTCCGCCAACCCGCTGCCTGAGAAAAGGCATGTTCTTGCTCTGTTACCTCTTTGACTCCATTTAGACCTCACCTGCCTATTTGATTTTTCTTGTCTTGACCAGTTATGTTTTCTTATTGTTTTTAGCTGAAGTGGGCTGAACCTGTAGCTGTCCCAGCTAATAAATAGGCTGGTGAAGGGTCAGGGAACAGGTGTGGGGGTAGGGCAGAGTTTTATCTGACCCAGCATGTGTAACCTTGGACAAGTCATTATTTCTGATTTTCAGTTTCCTAATCCATAAAATGGGTGAAATAACACCAACCCCATGGCAAGCAGTACATTACTCAATGAATGTCAAGGACCTAGAAGCCAGCTCAACACACAGCAGGAACTCAGTGTTACGCGCTCTTAACTAATGTTACAAGGGGCAGGAGATTGCCTTCGCTTGGGGGCTTTGCTTCTGACATTTTGCATGTACTGGCACTGATCTCTATGCTGAGACTTCCCTCCTAATTTAACCTATAATTCCGGACGTCAGCATAAATTGCTGGCTAAAAAACTGATAATTTTATATTTAAATTATCACAAACAAGTTTAACTGAAGATTTAAAAATCAGTGGTCCGCGTTGCTTCCAAAGATCCAAGACTGCCTTTACATTTATTGAGCACCTGGTAAGTGCCACATCTTCAGAGACAAACAGGCTCCCAGAGGGGAAGCGACTTGCTCAAGGTCACCCAGCTAGGAACCGTCCCAAGCAGGACACGAATCCCGGCCCACCCGTGCGCTGTCCCGAAAGAAGCTGAGGCCGGAAGTTAGGGGTGCGGCCTCCCTCCCAGCTTCGCGTGGCGTCAATGACCCAGGCGAAGTTGTCTCCGTCCGAGCCTGCTTCCCCATCTGTACTACGGCAGATGGGGCCACCCAGGGTGTTGCAGTCCGGGTGCCCCCTACCGATGCCCACGTCTAGTGCGTACCTGCTTGAGGGGCTACCCCACCGGCTGCCCCACCCGCCCACCTGCCGGAAGAAACTGCCCCAGATTCGGCTCCCGGACGCGCGTAAATCGCGGTGCGCTCTCTCGGACGCCTCGCTTCCGGGGTCGGCGCCACCGAGAAAGGGCTCGGGCGAACCCGGTTGTGCGGCTCCAGGGTTCCTAAGGCCATTGAGTTCCTCCCGGGAGACCCCTGCGGGCGGGTGGGGAGGCTGTGAACTCCACACCGACTGCGCCCGCAGGTACACAGTGGGGAAAGTGCGGGGATGGGGGGGGGGGTTGCTCCCTGGGGCCTCGGACTGGCGGGTCTTCCTTGAGGTCACGGCAGAAATATGGCACCAGCTCACGGTGGTTGCTCCAAGCTGGCGTTTAGGGACCCGGTTGAGGTGGTGTGTGGGCGAAGACCGAAAGCCTGCCCAAACGGGGGCGTGTCGCCAGCGGGCCCGGCGTTCGAGAGCTGGGGCCCGTGGTCCGGGGACGTGGTCTACCATAGCCTGTTGGTCAGGTCGAGCTGCGCGTGGGCGGGTTCCAGTGTTTCCGGCAGCTTCCAATTTGTGGGACGGGACCCAGTGTCTGGGAGCTGGCTGAGGACAGTGTCCCGAACCCAGCAGGAGGCCGGATGGCGACCGGACCCTATAGCTGCTCTTGACCCTCTCGCTCCCATTTGTAGTTTAGAGCAGAAAGCTGGAAACCGGACTCCAGAGACGTGAGTTCGAAGCCTGACTCTGTTGGTAACTCGTTGGAAGGCTTTGTCTAGGCTCCCGGACCTCCCTGGGCTTCAGCTGCTCCTTCTATTTGATTCACGTCCTTGTCCTGCAAAGTGTGGCTTGTCGACAACACCCGCCAGAATCTGTTAAGTAGATTACTGTTAACTAAACTACTAAACACGCGGTTTCCCGGGCTGCGTCCCGGGGAGCCCAGGAGACCAGCATTTGTACCAAGATACCCCGTGATCCCCCTAAGCTCCTTTGAAAACCTGCAGATTAGAGGGTGTCTGAGGGCTCCTCCTCTGAGATGATCACGCTGTAGATGGAAGGTACTGTGGAGGGTATTTGAAGGCTTGCCTGGATCAGGTGCCCAATAATAATACCACCCCGATAGTAATACCATCCCTCTTCCAACTTCTCTGGACTGAAGATTCCCCATTTCTATCCCGGAGTTGTAGTTATTTACCAAGAACCCTCACACCAGAGTCCCCATCTGAGTAGGAAGCCGAGGCCCAGAGAGGGGAAGCAGCTTGTTGGTTACAAAGTCAGCAGAGGGTTGAGCCAGGGTTCAACGCAGGCCCAAGAACTCCAAGTCTAGTGCTCCTCCCAAGCCTCCTTTGTACGCCTGCGTTTGGGGGACGCGAGTCTGATTCGGTGCAGGTGGAGCCCGGGCTGGCAGGGGTCCTGAGTTCTGGCCTGGGAAGGGCCTGGCCACCCACGATCCCCGCCCAACTACGGCACAGGCCACCAGGATGAGGGGTAGTCCTGAAAACTGCGACCCGGCTCCCAGGTCCCGCTGGGGGCAGAGCCAGATCCGAACGACAGGAGAGCGGGCCAATGCTGGGCGGGTTCTAGGCCTAACAGCCAATCAGGGACCGGGGGCGCGGAGCCGGCAAGGAGGCATCGCGCTGGAGCTGGGGAGATCTCCCCAGGCTGCTAGGGCCAGCCCCACCCCCGCCGTGGGTCCCAGCCCTGCCTGCCCTAGCCCAGGCTGGCAGAGCCCGCTCGGGCGGCCGCGGGCGGTGCGCGGTACCTGACTTGGCCTGCGGCTCAGAGCGTGCAGGTAGGGCGGACCTCGGGTCGGACTGGCCGCTCTCCACGCCGGGACTGGGGGTTCCCCCTGCCCCAGCCTCCCGACCGTCACCACCACCCCTAGCCTCTCTGACTGAGCTGGGCGCCCCGGAGAGGATTAAGTAAGTGCTGAGGTCGCCGCTTCTGTGCAAGCATGGAGGAATCACAGGGTCGCGGAGGCGGGCATGGGGATTGGGGTAGGGAAGATTGAGGAACCTGGTGGAGAACGGCATGCAGGCTCTCCGAGGTCGCGGTGCCTACCCCTTTCACCCCGGTTTCCTTTCCTTCCCTTTTGGACACTGAGGAAGGCTCAGAAAGTGGTCAGCAGGGCCCCTTCTTTCCTTTGGACAGAAGAGTAAACAGAACCCCAGAGCAAGAGTTAAGGGTCTGGCCCAAGGTCACGACCGTGGTCAGTAGCAGAGCGGAGAAAAGAACCCGGGACTACTGATGTGTGCCCAGCCTACCTGGAGGGAGAGGGCAGAGAGGGATGAGCCTCCCCCACCCCATGTCCATCTGCCAGGCTTATTCCTTCCTGAGAGACCATCATGGGTGTGTGCACATCTCACACACACCCAGGCATCTGCACCGGGAGATAGGCGTGCAGCCAGGAGCTATGTGTTCCTCCTCTCCCTAGGCCTGCCCATCTGCAGCTTGGCTGGGACCCTTCCCACCCTGTGTGCCCATAGTCCTCTGGACTGGGCAGATCTCCCACCCTCTGCTCCCAGAAGAGGAGAAGGCACCTCAAAGTGGCAGTTCCATCCCTGCCTCTGAAGATATGCTCCCTTTGCCTTGCTCCTTGTCCCTAGCAGCCCCCAGCTTCCCTATTGGGTGGGAGGGTTCAATGACCCCAGGAGCCTGCAGAGAAGCCCTGCCAGAGGACCAGAGCCTCTCTCTTCTTCCTGTCTTCTGGTCTCTTCACACCTGCCCCTACCCCCACTCCAAGCATAGCCTGGACCATACAGCTGGCTGGGTCCAGGGGCTCCTGTGGCTCCCCCTTTTCTGTCTGGGTTGGCCAGAGGGATATCTAATATTTATTTATTTTTATTTTTATTTTTATTTTTTTATTTTATTTTTTTGTCTTTTTCCGTGTCCGGCAACGGATTGCAACCCTCAGTGTCGCCCCCGTACCGGACCGGGACCGGCAACGGGATCGCAAACCTCAGTGCTGCGCCCGCCCCTCGCTCAGCCAGTGAGCGGGAACCGGTCTGTATGTGGGATCCGAACCCTCGGGCGGGAGCGCCACCGCGCTTCCCAAGCGGCGCACTATCCAGTGCACCACCGGGCCGGCCCTATTTTTATTTTTTTTAAAGATGACGGGTAAGGGGATCTTAACCCTTGGCTTGGTGTTGTCAGCACCATGCTCGGCCAGTGAGCGAACCAGCCATCCCTATATAGGATCTGAATCCGTGGCCTTGGTGTTATAAGCACCACACTCTCCCGAGTGAGCCACAGGCCAGCCCTGATATCTAATATTTATTGGGTGCTTACTGTGGACAGGGCTTGTGCTGAGCTAAGTCTTTTCTTTTTTTTTTTAAAGATAACCAGTAAGGGGATCTTAACCCTTGGCTTGGTGTTGTCAGCACCACGCTCGGCCAGTGAGTGAACCGGCCATCCCTATATAGGATCTGAACCCGTGGCCTTGATGTTATCAGCACCACACTCTCCTGAGTGAGCCAGGGACTGGCCTTTGAGCTAAGTCTTTTCTAGGGACCTGTTCATTCTGACATTTCAGTAACCCTATGACCCTGTGGGCATGTTCTTAATATCTCCACCTTAGACTCAGGAAAACTGAGACTCAGAGAGGTAGAGTGACACTCCTGGGATCATCCAGTTAAATAGCTGAGCTGGGATTCAAAGACAGGCCTGTGTAATTCTTGGGCAAATGTTTCCCTTCAGGAAAAGAAAAGGTTGCAGTATTTATTTCCTCCAGCAGGATGAAGGATGTGAGGGGCAGGGAGTGAGGAGGTGGGGGAATGGGTGGGAAGTGTGTGTGGGAGGTGGTTATTGCACAGTGGAGGGATTTTTTCTTTCAAACCTCCCCACTACCTTTCATATCTTCCACATATGATCACTATGATCATCTTAATCACAGACATAGGTGGCAGAGCTTCATTTTCATGTTCCTAAAAATGGAGGAACTGTAGCTATGTAAAGCAGGTATCCTAATGTCCCCTGAACTTGCCCTCACCCTTGGCCTCAAACCCTTATTTTCCCAGTATAGGGACTTCATCTCACTGCCAAGCCCCTTTCCTGAGCCTCATGTTTTGTATTCTTTCCTTTCCAGCACCCAGGGAGGCAGGGGACTCCCTTTATCCAAGGAGGTGGCTTTGCAGGTACCCACCAGAGGTAGCAGGAGCCACTTCTTGATGTCAGAAGTGAGTAGGCAGGTTGACTGACCATAGACAGTCTCTCAGCCAGGGCCCTCTCAGCATCAGAATGAACTCCAGGATCCCATCTGCTAGGGGCTGGTTCAGCAGCCATCCACCCACTTCTGAGCCTGACCTGGAGTCTACCACAGATGGGCCAGCCTCTAAGACCACCACCCTCAGCCCAGAAGCTACCAGCTTTAATGACACCAGAATCCCTGATGTGGCTGGGGGTGCAGCCGGCGTGGGCACCATGCTTCTGTCCTTTGGGATCATCACTGTGATTGGCCTGGCTGTGGCCATGGTGAGAGCTGGCGTAGGCTGGGGCTGGGTCAGGAGGCCCTTAGTTGGGGGAGGGTGGTCAGTGTTTAGATTTATAGAGAACCTAATCAGAAGACAATTGTCTATTAGTGATATGCAATCCTCCTCTCCCGCAGAGATTTGTCCATTAGAACCCAGAGACCAGAGACGCAATTCTTCTGATTGGAAGAATGAGAAAAGGTTCTGAGGAATACATGGTGTTTTGAGCTGGTTCATGAAGGTCACATAGGAGTTGGAGAGGAGGGTGTTCCAGATGGAGGGTCCTCATTGGCAAAAGTTTGGAGGCAGGCAGGAGGTTCTGTGAGCAGCAAGCAGGATGGTGAGGCAAGCGGGTGTGGGGGTTGCAGTAGGAATAGAGGCCAGAAGGTAGTGGGGATGGATTGTGAGCTATGGAGTCTGGATGGGATGCTCTGAGCATGGCAGGCTATTGGCTGTGTTCATTTATTCATTCACTTGGCAATTATTTACTGGGTACCTGCCCTGGACCAGGCCTTTGGGGCCCAACAGGGGCTGGGGAGACAAGGTCTTACCCTGTGGTTCTTATGGGGAGTAGGAGACACATACAGACTGTGTTGGGGAATGGTGGGGGGGGGGGCTTTCTAGGCTAGGTGGTCAGGGACAGATGAGGAAGGAAGCACCATTAGAGCTGAAACCCCAAGGTAGAAGCCTGGCCTCAGGGTCATGAGAAGTGGTGGAGTTGGGCAGCCATCAGGACAGAGGTGAGTTGGGGAGAGGGTTGCAGGTATCTTCCAAGAGTGAATATGGTGCTTCTTGGTCTGTTGTCAGCCCCTGAGGATGTGGGATTTCTCCCTAAGATGATACATACACACTTAGAATGTCACTGAAGGAACACTGGAGATTGTGCAGGCTGAGACCAGGGAGGGAGGGGGTGCACCTGAGGTCCTGCAGTGGGCCTGGCAGCAGTGGCATTCTGCCCACTGCCCCTCTCAGGCTCTGATGGCTGTCCTCAGGCTCAGAAGCATGTTGCTCTGACAGATAGGACTGTGGATGTTCCATCCATGGCCTGGTTGGAGCTGCTGTTAAACTAGGATCACCATATGGGCCCCACAATCTCCAGATTGCTGCCAAGGAACATCTGCCGGCCAGCAAGCATGGCTAGGATGCCGCATATGCAGAGTGAGGCTGGGGCCTGAGAGGTCTCCTGGAGCAGGGGTGATGCAGAATGCCAGTGTTCCCCCTTGGCACCCATGCAATGGTTAAGCAGGCTGAGGCACCCTAACCTTAGGGGAAAAACAGGGCCTAGAATGTGCCTTCATTACTCTTGGGGAAAGATTTTGTCCCAGGAACTTGGGAAAGCTTTCTCACTCTTTGTTCTAGAAGAATATTCAGAGGGCCAGAGTGAATGGCCTTCTTGCCAAAATCAGAGAGATAGGAAGGTTGTGGGACAAAGGCAGTAGAGGGCAGGAAACAGCTCCTGGGCACAGGGAACAGATCCAGAGGTGTTCCCTGAATGCTGTTCTCTCTCCCCTCGTGCCAGCCCTGAGCTGTGCAATGGGTACAAGCAGGAACAGATCAGTGCCAGACTGTGGCCTCACACAGGAGGAAAAAGTGCTTGGTGCAGGCAGGATCAGTGTGGGGAGGGCTTCCTGGAGGAGGTGGGGCTGCAGCTGGACAATGAGGTAAGATTTGGAAAGGAAGAGGGGGGGGGCGTGTCAGCAGTTGGGTCAGATAGAGCAGCAGGGGCAAAGGCTTAGAGATTGGATAAAGGTTCTTTCCTTTTCTGTAGATCCTTCTGAATCATAGGGCCACAGAGAGGAAAGGTTTGGGGCAATGGCCAAGAAGTGAGGGAGCAGGGTGCTGAGGCTGGAGCCCCTTGCTCAGGTGGGCAAGGGCTGGGCCAAAAGACCGCAGAGCTCCTGTTGCATCCCATCCACAGAAGAGAAAGAGGAACCCCCCGTGAATGACCTTCTGGAGGCAATGAGAAAGTGAGGGGCACCCCAGTTTCTTTCTAGGCCTTAGGGGGCCTGTGGGAGGAGCTCCGGGTCAGGCTGGAAAGCAAACCAGATTTAAACTGTGAATGGACCACAAAGAGTGTGGGAGCCACAGACAGTTTGGGACAGACTCTGGGGATGTGTCTTTCCCCCAGACAGAAGTGGTCATGCTCCTGGTAGTCAGAAACTGCCAGTTTGAGGAAGAGCAGGATGGTGGCAGAAGTCCCTGGAGTCTCTGCCTGAGGTGGTCACCCAAGTCTCACCCTCTTCTTCTGTCTCCTCAGTGCATTGTCCAGGGTTTCCTGCTCTGGCCTGGAAGTTCTAGTTGTTTATTCAGGCAGCCTAGGCCTTAATCTTTTTTTTTTTTTTTTTTTTTTTAAAGATGACCGGTAAGGGGATCTCAACCCTTGGCTTGGTGCTGTCAGCACCACGCTCAGCCAGTGAGCAAACCGGCCATCCCTATATAGGATCCGAACCCACGGCCTTGGTGTTATCAGCACCGCACTCTACCGAGTGAGCCACGGGCTGGCTCTAGGCCTTAATCTTCAAGTCTGTACATCGGGGGACAGGACTGAGGGGCTTTCTTAGGTTCTTCCAGCATTGGAGTTCTGGAGAGTTGGCCTGATGATGTTGGCTGATGATGCTGGCTGATGATGCTAGCTGATGTCCAGGGGCTAAGGCCTCCCTCTCCCATCCCTGCCCACTCAGGGCAGTCAGCCTCCCATGGGAACCTCAGAGACCCAGCTCAGAGCCTTGCCTAGAGCCACTGCTCTGCAGAGTCTGGCCACTGCTTGTTCCCTTTTCTTTTTGCCTGTACGTGGCTTTGGGCCTGGGGTGAGTTAAGGGGAGGGAATGTGCTGAAGCCTTCCCCTTCTCCTTCACCCCTGAAGAGCCACAGGCAGGGGCTGAGTGGCTGGGGTTACAGTCAGTATTGACAGAGGTGGGGTCCACCGGCCCCCAGGCCAAGCCTAGCTGGTCTTCCCAGGCTGGGCTCCTCGACAGCAGGTGTGCTCCCCAACTCTGAGTCCTCAGACTTGGTCTGGGTACTGTAAGCATCTAAAAGCATCAAAGGGAGGCATGAAGGGGATCCATATGTCATTGGGATGGGGACCCTGAGGACATGGGGACTCACAGTTATCCCATTCTTCAGCCTCAGCATGTCCCCCATCCTGAGGGACTGCTGGGTTAATCAGGGCCTTCTTTCCTTGCCATCTGATGCTGCTCCTTCTCTTGCAGGTTTTGTACATCAGGAAGAAGAAGAGGTAATTCCCTAGCTGCCTTCCAAAACCCCAGCCCATGGACAGTGCTGGGCTGGGCTCCAGCGGACATGGGTGGAAAAGGGGAAAGAGTCCCCCACCACGAAGTCCCCTCTCCCTGGTCAGGGAGTCAGGGCCTCTTCTGCCCACTCAGGGATGACCACTTTTCCTGGGGGAGTGGGCAGTAATTGAGGACCCTCTACCAGGATCTCACACATAGGGCAGACAGGTGTGAAGATCCTGGGTAACCAGGTATAACCCTGGGATTCGGGATGGGTAGGGAGGGGGAAGGGATAAGAAGGTTGGGATTACCCCCACCCAGCTGCCCAGCCACCCTTGCCCTGCTCCCCTGAGCTGACTGCCATTGACTCCCCAACCCCCAGCCCTAGCCCTCAGAGGCTGTGGATTGCAGCAAAGCGCCCCTGCCTAGGCAGTCCCTGTGGATCCCACAGGTGACAACTACATGGCCAGTGGCCCTACTTAGTCCCAGGAGTGGGTAACTGCTGTCTCCCAGGCCACCCATCTGAGGGGTAGAACTGGTACTCTAGGTACAAAAATGTCTGTCATTTAATTGCATTTCAAGGGAAATCTTAGGACCCTAAATGTGATTGTGTGCTGTTGCTCAGCTGGTCAGCAGGTGGGGCCTGAAGGGCTGGTGGGAGGGGAAGGGCCTGCTCTGCCCCCAGCAGCTTCTGCTCCCATCCCCAGACTGGAGAAGCTTCGCCACCAGCTCATGCCCATGTACAACTTCGACCCCACAGAGGAACAAGATGAACTGGAGCAGGAGCTGCTGGAGCATGGGCGGGACACTGCCTCCATGCAGGCTGCCTCCTCTGTGCAGGCCACGCAGGGCAAGGTGGGCACTGACCAGGCTCCCCCACCCAGCCTGCAGCCCTTATGCATCCTCTGCCCCCACCCTCTCTCCTCTCTCATACAGCTCTCTAGCATGTGGTCAGGTGGCAGCTATTAGGTATATGGATTTTGTCAGGTTTGTTCAGAAACTGGTAGAATTGCTCCATGGCCACCCACAGACTCACTGTGCAAGGCCAGGCCAGGGGCAGCCCTGGGTGCTGGCCTGGCTCTGCCCTGGTAGCCTGCTGGTCTTGGAAGCCCCATTGGTATCTCTGAGCCTCAGTTTTCTCATGAAATGAAAATCCTAACTCTTGCTTGTGTACCCCATGTACTGGCTAGAAAAACAGGAGAAGACTAATGGGAGAGATGGTTGGGAGCTGGGATCCTGGGTTCCTCTGCTTCCTGAGGGTCCTGAGTGTGTTGTGGATGGGTCAGACTCCTGGACAGTGGCACGTCCAAGTAGGCTGGTGGATTCCTAGTTGCTGACAGACCTCAGGCAAGTGGAGACCCCAGCCTTCTATATCCAAAGGGTACTTGTGAGGTCATCCTGCCAGAGCCACTGGGCTGCCTGAACCACTTGCCACCATTCTAAAAAATCCCCAAGGACCAGAGTGCCATGAGGAGGCTTGGCCTACCCCTGACCCATCCTCTGCATCTTCTGGACTTAGGAAGAGTCCAGGCTGGGAGTCTGAAGACCCCTAGGTTTTGCTGCAGTTCTGTGTCACCTGGGTCAGGGCACACTGCTCCCTTGAGATATGAAGGAAATCATACTGAGAACTTTGGTTCACCCAGACCCCAGGGTCTACTGATCATTTGACAGTTGTTTTCTGTATACCTTCCTTGTGCTAGCCCCTGTGCTGGGGCCTGGGGTGCAGAGGTAAGCTCCCCTGCTGGGAAAAGGTGATGCATGCATAATTAATTTAGTGCCTTGGCCCACAGTAAGAGCTGCCAAGGTGACAAAGCAAGCTAGGGATGCCTGATGGGGGAAGGAGTCATCTGGGCCAGGTTGCATTTCTAGACTGAGCTTGTGGGGAGGGCATTCCAGGCAGAAGGCATAGCTGGTGTCAAGCACAAGCAGTCATTAGGAAGCGAGGGTGGAGGTGACTGGGCCAGAGAGTGCGTGGCCTTGGTCAAGGTCTCTAATGCCTCTGCCTGTCTCCCTGCAGACCACTCTTCCCTCCCAGGGCCCACTGCAGAGGCCCAGCCGGCTGGTGTTTACAGACGTAGCCAACGCCATCCATGCATGAGTGGCCTGGGGACAGGCCTGGATCTCTGATAGAGATACCTGCCATGGTGCCCAGAGAACTGCCCCCTCCCTGATTGTCAAGACCTATTCTCAGGACTTGCCCTGCCAAGACAGAAAGGGCCAGGTCAGGCCCCAGCTGTTCTGTGGACCCATCTGCTGACTCTGTAGGCTCAAGAGAGGGCCCTTGGCCAGGCTGGGCATCTGGCCACTGACTTCTCCTGACCTGAGGGCCCTGATATGGGGGGAATCCTTCATGCAGGGAAGGTCAAGAGCCACTGCTGGCTTCCTTGTCTCCTGTTCAGACCCCTCACATCAGGGCCTGCTTCTCTAATGTGGAGGAAATGGGGGGAGATATGGGGTGGGAGAGGCAAGGAAAGGAGAGTGGGGGTTCCCCTCTGTCAGGAGGAGACCTGTTTTTTTGAATCTGGAGCCTCCTCTGGGGTGGGGAGAAGCAACCACTCAGGTCACGGGGTCGGGGTGGGACAGAATCTGTCATAGGCCCTGAGAGGCTCAGGGATGAAGCTGAAACTTCCCAGGAGGCAAGGATGCCAAGAGGGGGGCTGCTCATATCCAGGGTCCATCCATATTATAGAGAGCGACCCACCCTGGCAATCAACTGTTTGCTGGGCGCAAACTAGGGGGAATGGAGGAGGGGAGTGGATGTGGAAGGATGTAGCCCCAACGCCTGCTGAAAGACTTCGTGCAGGTGCATGAGTGTGCTCACTTGCAGACACATACCTGTCCCAGCACCGGGGGCAGGATGGAGACCTCCTCCAAATCGACCCCCACTCCATGGTATATAGTGGAGAATCAGGGTAGGCCACCTTCTCTGCCTTCAGTGTTCAGGGACTGCAGGGAAGAAGGAAGCAAAGCAGGGTTCCACTGTGTGCTGCATTTCTTCACTGGGCTCTAAAAGCTGGCTAACCTGCTTTTGAAAATGGCTCACTGTCTTGGGTTATATTGGGGATCTGGTGTTGGGGGAGAAGCTGTTGGTCTGATGGCAGTGGTCACAGGCTGCTGGCCAGTGAGAGCAGTTCTGACTAACTGAAAGGGGGTGGGGGATTGCCCCTTGGGAAAAAGACCTAAGAAACCTGGTCTATTTTTGGATTCTCCCCACCTCCATCCCATCCATGGGAAGGGACTCAGTGTTTATGGAGTGGGGAAGTGGGCCTCTGCACCTGGCCTCCCCCTGAGCCTTGGAAGATCAAGGCTGATGCCAGGGGCATCTGGGCAAGGCATTGGGCAGAGATAGCCCCCAAGAGCTGGGCATTTTTCCTACGCTGGGCAAGCATGTGTGCGTGAGTGCGCCCAGAGGTATATCATTGTGCCCAGCCTTGCTGCCATCACTGTCTTCCACTGGTTGGAGAGGACGTGGGGGTGGCCTGTACAGATCCATTGGGCAAATACCACATATCAGGAGGTGAGGGCCAAGGGTGCTCCGTGGAGAAGGTTCTGGATTTATTCCCTCCCCTAGATGCTATAAATACATTAGCACTGAACTGACTGGAGGGCTGCGGGTAATTTAAGATGCACAAAGCTGTAATTTAACTCACAGCATCTCCATGTGAGACCATTAAAGATGTAATTAAGATGTTTACATGAAGAGAATGTGAGTCTGTGACACTTGGGATGTGGAACCCCAGGAGGGGACAGGATGGGTGAGGGGCTGCGGGATGCTTGGGGATAGTTGCTTGGATCTCAGCTATGAGGTGGCAACACACTTGGTTTTTGATCTGTCTGAAGAAATGCCTCTGGCCCTGAATTCAAGGCTGCTCTGGGGTCTTGTGTCTCAACTGTGAAACTGGGTCACAATGCTTGCTACTCCTTGGGGTGGAGAGGCCAAGTGGACAGGACCTTGTGGGACCAGAGGAGGGATGGAGCTTGAGGTTTCTCCCAAGGGCCAGGGAGAAATATGGCACCTTAGGACCCATAGAGCTGGGTCTGAAGCACAAAAGAGAATGAAATAACATGGCCTTCCCTGGAGCACAAGGGACAGGGTGGTGGGGTGGGCTGCCATTAAGATTATGTGTATGGAACCCACCTGCAGAGTTCAGAAGGGTTTGAGGGAGAATGACACTAGAATGACGAGCTGTCCTGGTTTTCCCAGGAGTTTTAGCACTGAAAGTCCCATGAACCAGGACTGTAAGTGACATTCAGACCCTCTGTTAGAGAGCTGAGCCTTCAGGCTAGCATCACAGAGACAAGAAGAGGATGAGCCCCCAGTTCCACAATGGAGAGCTGGGCTGGAGGTGGGGGCTGTGGGACAGGGCCTTCGGTAAGGCTGAGGACAAAGCACCCCACAGGCCATCCACACTGGCATCACAGCTGGGCCTGGTCGCAATGACCTTGGTCTTGGAAAGGGGTCTCCTTTCCTCGGATGATTGGCAGGATTCCTGAGGGGTGTGATGGGTGGGCTGCAGGCTGCCACCCTGTTGGGTAGCCCCTCAGTCCAGGAATTTGGGAGCTGCAGGAGACTCAGTGTCTGAGAGATCCTGAAGAAATGGGCCCTGTGGAGTAAGGCTGGTGCCCAGGGACCGGGGCCTGTACGGGGATCCAAGAGGATCCCGTCCCCATTCTCTCCCACTGCCTGCCCCGTGTCCCTTTCCTGATGGGTGGGCTTGGCTAGGTTGTAGCCACAGGGCAGCTATCTCTGTGGGTGACGGGGCCCTTCCTCATCTCTTGTGTCCTCACAGTCACTTCCTCTTCCCTTCCACCCACCTTCTTCTGCTTTCTAGCTCTTCTTCCCAGGCCTGGAGGAAAACCAAATTCCCAGCTCATTCTAAGTTCTTCCACAGAGTGTGGGACCAATAAACATTGGGGCGAGGGGTTCTGGTTGACGCATTCTTGTGGCCTCAAGCCTGGCGGACTGGCCAGGCTGTCCTCGCTGCCCTCAGCCAGTCGGACGGAGCAGGAGGAGATTGCCTACCTGCCGCTACTGCCCCTGACATTGACTGTGATGTGGGGCCCTCTGGGAAATGCCCCCCTGCCTGACACACACATACTTCAGTAAGTGGAACCCCTCCTCGTAGATAGCAACCAGGGCTTCAGATCAGAAGCTGCTGGAGTTTGCGGTAGGTGTTATCAGGGTGGACATGGCTGGGAGCCTTCAAAGGAGGCCACCCTCTTGTTTAATAAAGTAAAATGTCACCTTCGAGCTAAAATGAATAAAATAATCCCACTTCCTGGCTGCAGGCAGACACGGGGGATGCTTTCAGAATATAAAGGAAAGCTCGTGTGGGGGAGAGCCCAGAAAATCTAGTAGAGCAGTCTGACCTTGCTCTGATTCCTTCCAGAAATATTACTGAGTCCCTACCATGAGCACAGCACCATGGTCCTGTCAGTGAACCAACCCAGACTCTGCATTTCCATTCTAGATAGAGGAGACAGATGTCAAACAGGAAAAAAGATGTGTGTGCGTGGTGCACGTACACACATCACACACACACATGCTATATGTCTATATATTTTTTATCTAGAGCTATATGAAAAAGGCAGGGGTGAGGTCAGGGTGTGCCTGGGGGTGTTCAGATGCTGGAGGCAGACACCCCATCCTACTCTGTCCAGCTGCACTCCTCAGCAGGCCTCATTGTGAAAGGCCTTGGCTGAGGATATCTGGGGGATCCCAGGAGACATCCCGATCTACCCTGGCTTCTGAGGGCTCGAGACAGTGGGCAACTGCAGGTGGGGGGCATGTATGGTCGCCCAGAAGACATTATTGAAAGACCAGAGATGCTGGGAAATGAACAAGAAGGGTGTAAGCATCAGGTGAAGGGAGGGAAGGAAGGAAGGGGAGAGTGTGGAGACCCCTTAGGTGGGCGGCATGGTGTGAGACCAGGATGCCATCCCACCTAGGCCTAGGTCTGCCCTTGATGCGCTTCTCATCCCCCCATCCCCAGAGCTCCTTGGCAGTGGTCCTGTCCCCCCACTCCTCACCCTTGGTGCTTTGGTCCTGCAAGTAGAAGATCAAGGCAGGTATTAGTGGCCCCCAGGGACACCTGGGCACTCCCCCCACCACACACACCTGTGGGAGGTAGAGGAAGGGCAGCAAGCATGTAGGGGAGGAACGAGAAGTGGGTGTGGTCTCCCCCATCCCAGAAAAAACCCTATGGTTAGAGCCTTTGGCCCAATAGAGGGGCTATAGGGGAAGCAAGGTGTAAGGGATGATGGACTTCCTCACAATCAGGACACTAATGATGGTGATCTCACCAGTTGATCCTTGCAGACATGGAGTGCCTACATTGTGCTGGGCCACCACTATGTGCGAAACCCATTCCACCTCGTCTACCGAGTGTCCCTTTGTCTTAGATGCCGGTACTGATGGGGAAAAGGATCTGTGAGATCTATGAGAATCATCAGGCCAATGGGAACTGCTGAGGGACTCCCTCAGAGAGACCATACCCATCTCACTCCCTCCAAAGGGGCCCAGGAGGCCTGTTCCCACCCCCAAATGATGACTACCCGAAGCTTGAGTGGGTGGGGTGGACTCAATCAAGTTCCCTTAGTAGAGGGAAGTGAGGGCACTCTGTTTGGAGCCATCCCCAGTGTGACCACCAGGTGGCAATGCAGGCCCAGATTATTAGGTGGGTGCACTGAGTGACATTTGGCCTTGAGGCCTTACTCAGGAATCTGGGGTCAGGACAGCTGGTGCTCTGGTGCTGTTTGCTCCTCTTTCCGAGGAGCAGGTCTGGACTGGGGCTGGGTCAGGGAGACTATCTGATCACTGCTGTGGCCTGAGCCTCCAGAATGGAGCCTGGCACATAGACGCTAAGGGCTATTTAATGAATGGAGGATTGAATAAGTTGTTTTTGCCTCATGGGAATTAAAGGAGTTAATATATTAAGAGCATGTGGAGAGCCTTTAATAAATATATGCAGTTATCACACTTTTGTTATAGTGGGTGGTTCTTCCCAGAGCAAGGACAGGGCCCCCAAGGCCCTTGGCCTCCTTGGGGTATAAGTTGTGGGCCCTGCCCTGGGATCTAGACAGCCCCTCCCATCAGGG